GTCTCGGTAGTAATAGGCCTGAACGTCTTGTACCAGGGGAGCGGCGCCCCCTCTGCGTGCGGTTGAATATATCCTGGAACACCGGCGCGAGGTAGAATCCTGGTCGATGGAACGGCATCTTGTAGTTGAGATTGTGGATCAGCTTGAAGGTGTGGGTTCGGATCGCCCGCATCGGGTAGTACATGGTGACCTCGTGCAGGTCGTGGCTGGCGAACACGGCGTCTGACAGCTCCTCTGCTGTGACCGTTGGCTCGTATCTCGTCTGTCTCACGTCTTGCCGTACGCTTGGCTCGCCTCCTTCGTCGTCTGCGGCACCAGGTGGATCTCGCTGACTCTCACCCCGTTTCCGTGACTCCCTGGGGAAAGATATCGAAGCAACGACTTCCCCGTCAGTATGCGGGCTCGTCCTTCTTCAGAATGCTGTACTTCGGGTATGTAATGTTCATCCAGTCAAGGACAGTCGGGGTCAGGTCGAGGAGAGACGCCAGGGCGGCTGTGGTGTTCCCCCAGGAGGCGGTGAAGCGGCGAGGACACCAGCAAGGGCTCCGCCATGCCAGGGTCGTACAGATTGGTGCGGCCGGCGGGGAAAGGGATGCCGTTGTCTGACGTGTATATGACCAGGGTATCCTGCGCGTGGCTGCGCTCGCTAGCTCCTGCAGGATGAGTCCTACGCCTTGGTCCAGCCGGGAGGCGTCGTGTACTGCGCCGCCAGGTCCGCTCGCGCCGCCGGCGTGTCCTGGACGAAGAAGGCACTTCGACCTCAGCCGGATCGTACACAGCCGGCCGCCAGTCCGGTATGTATCCCATTCCGGGGTCGCCGTTGCCGAACTTCTCGCAGAAACTGGCCCGAACTGCGGTTGGGTGTGGCCGCAGCGGTGGGGGTCGTGGAAGCCCACGTAGAGGAGAAAGGGCGCGAGTCGTTGGCCTCGAGGAACTGCCTGACGAGCAGCCGGATGTGGGTGATGTTGCGGCCCACCTGCATGATGGACTCGGTCTCCTCCGTGTGCGCGAAGTCGAACGGATACACGGCCTCGGGCCCCACGTGCTTCTTCCCACGATGCCCGTGCGGACGTCGTGCTCGGCCAGGATGCCGGGGAGGCTCCTCACGCCGTCGAAGGAGTTGAAGTGGTGGTAGCCCTGGTGGAGCCCGTACATGCCGTTCTGGTGCGTGGGAGCCCCGTCAGGATGGCGGAGCGGGAGGGCGAGCAGCTGCTGACGGCCGTGAAGGCGCGGTGAAGACGGTGCTCCGCTTCGCCAGATGATCCAGTGAGGCGTCCGACACACGGGGTTCCCATACACCTACGGGAATGTTTCTCAATTAAGGGGCGTGTGATCTTAGGCAAGCACTACATCAAGCTCACAGAAGAACTAAGCTAATCGGGTATTGGTTCATCAAATAATCTGCATCTTTGATATAAAAGTCGACCTTATAATCCTAACAAGGCCTTGTGTAATGTTTTGCCTAATGCCTTTCGTTACAGATTCACATAAACTGCTCCAAAAAAAAAAAAATCATACTCAACACACTGATACACTAAACACACACCACAACACCGAACCCGCAACGCAAAACATCGCAGCAACATATAGCATGACGAATAGACCCATAAAGATGCGACATAATTCCCAGGTGACTCCGCCCATCCAGCTTAAACAGACAGACACCGCGCGGCCCAAGGCTCTCACCTGCATCTCGAAGCCTCCGTCATCAGCCACGATCATGAGGACGCTTCTGTTCCCAGGCGCTGTGCAGCTGCAAGGACCCAGCAGCCCGCCAACACCGCGATCACGACCGTCCACATCTTGGAGAGAAGAAAAAAAAGTCGAATTTCTTAATAAGGTAATAAGAAATTCAAAAAATAAATGTATCTTTATGTACGTGTGGATACGCGTCGGAATCTTGATGTGGAACTATCAGTGAGTTATTCCGTCTATCCACCCATTTATCTATCAATATCTATATCAGTCGATATAGATATTCATCTATTTATCTATATGTTTGAAATAAACATACACAGACAAATAGATAGACAAAAAATGCATATACATACATACATATACATACATATATACATACATACATACATACATACACACACACGCACGCACATGTGTGTATTATATATATATATATATATATATATATATATATATATATATATATATATAATATATATATATATATACACACATATATTTATGCATGTTCTATATATATATGTGTGTGTGTGTGTGTGTGTGTGTGTTGTGTGTTTGTGTGTGTGTGTGTGTGTGTGTGTGTGTGTGTATGGTTATGTATGCGTATACATATGTGCATATACATGTGTGTGTGTGTCCATATATATATATATATATATAATATATATATATATTATGTGTGTGTTGGTGTGGTGTGTGTGTGTGTGTGTGTGTGTGTGTGTGTGTGTGTGTGGTGTGTGTGTGTGTGTGTGTGTGTGTGTGCGTGTGTGCGTGTGTGTGTGTGCGTGTGTGTGTGTGTGTGTGTGTTGTGTGTGGTGTGTGTGTGTGTGTGTGTGTGTGTGTGTGTGTGCGTGTGTGTGTCTATATATACATATGTATAGATCTAGCAGTCAGTGGCTGTGGTCGACAATGCATAATGCATATCTGATATAGCACTATTTATGCACAATAAACACGTATGACGAAGATAAGTTCGGTTACTTTCTGTAAACAATGCTGCATAATTTCACTCAATAAGTTTTTTCTCTTCTTCCTTTCTTTTTTTTTATTTTCTCTTTTTAATATCAAGTCCTTAAATGTGAGATATAGAAATCTTTAAAAAAAATAGATACTTCAAAGAGATGGGAGAGGAAAAAATTGGAGACAGTTCGATTAGCAGTTAAGAATATTTGAACACTTCCATAACCCTTTCTCACCCTCTCCCTTCTCATCCTCTCCTTTTCTCACCCTCTCCCTCTCCCTTTCTCTCTCCTCTCCCTTTCTCTCCTTCTCCCTCCCTTTCTCTCCTTCTCCCTCCCTTTCTCTCCCTCTCCCTTTCTGTCCCTCCCCTTTCTTCCCTCTCCTATCTCACCCTCTCTCTCTCTCTCTCTCTCTCTCTCTCCTTTCTCTCTCTCTCTCTCTCTCTCTCTCTCCCTTTCTCACTCTCTCCCTTTCTCATCTCTCTCTCTCCTTTCTCACTCTCTCTCTCCCTTTCTCACTCTTTCTCTCTCCCTTTCTCACTCTCTCTCTCCCTTTCTCACTCTCTCTCTCCCTTTCTCACTCTCTCTCCCTTTCTCACTCTCTCTCTCTCCCTTTCTCACTCTCTCTCTCTCCCTTTCTCACTCTCTCTCTCTCTCCCTTTCTCTCTCTCTCCCTCTCCCTCTCCTAGTCTCACCCTCTTACTCTCCTTTCCTTTTCCCTCCCTCTCCCTCTCCTTTTCTCTCTTCTCTCTTCTCTCTCTCTCTCTCTCCTCTCTCCTCTCTCTCCTTTCTCTCTTCTCTCTCTCTCTCTCTCTCTCTCTCTCTCTCTCTCTCTCTCTCTCTTCTCTCTCCTCTCTCTCTCTCTCTCTCTCTCTCTCTCTCTCTCTCTCTCTCTCTCTCTCTCTCTCTCTCTCTCTCTCTCTCTCTCTCTCTCCCTCTCTTTTTCTCTCCATCTCCCTCTCTTTTTCTCTCCATCTCCTCTCTTTTCTCTCCATCTCCCTCTCTTTTTCTCTCCATCTCCCTTTCTTTCCCTCTCCATCTCCCTTTCTTTCCTCCTCTCCCTTTCTTTCCCTCCCTCCCCCTTTCCTTCCCTCTCCCTCTCCTTTCCTTCCCTCTCCCTCTCCCTTTCCTTCCTTCTCCCTCTCCCTTTCCTTCCCTCTCCTCTCTCCCTCCCCTTTCCCTTTCTATCCCTCTCCCTTTCCCTTTCTCTCTATCTCCCTCTCCCTTTCTCCCCGCACTCTCTCTCTCTCTTCTCTCTTCTCTCTCTCTCTCTCTCTCTCTCTCTCTCTCTCTCTCTCTCTCTCTCTCTTCTCTCTCCTCTCTCTCTCTCTCTCTCTCTCTCTCCATATATATATATATATATATATATAATATATATATATATATATATAATATATTATATATATATATATATATATGTGTGTGTGTGTGTGTGTGGTGTGTGTGTGTTGGTGTGTGTGTGTGGTGTGTGGTGTGTTGTGTGTGGTGTGTGTGGTGTGTGTTGTGTGTGGTGTGTGTGTTGTGTGTGTGTGTGTGTGTGTGGTGTGTTGTGTGTGTGGTGTGTGTGTGTGTGTGTGTGTGCACGCGCGCGCGCGCCTGCCTGATGGGGATACCATACGAGTGTATGTACATGTAGTCACGTGCATACAAATGTCACTCCTGTATCTTATACTTTAATTAAAGTGAAATTCCAATTTTATGATTAACAAGGAAATTACTACATCCTCATATCGAGAGCAGAAACTTTCGACTACTTACCGTGTCGTGCCAGACTTTTTTCCCATCGTAGCTGTTTTGTGTCTGAGGCAAACTGAACAGTAGCCTCCTATCAAACTCTTGATAAGCCTCGTGCAGTTTGCGTTCAGAAGCCTAGAAATCGTAGTGTTCGAAAATGCAACTTTCTGTCATAACAAACATTCACGTGATCTAGTGTACGTGAACAATCGCACCTTATATTCAAACTAGTATTAACATTTTAAAGACTTTTAAAATTATTTAGATATCAGATATTTCGTAGTATTTTGGCAAATGTATTGACATAACACAGTGCTTAATTGATCGCTTAATCCTGATTGGTGGAAATCTTGAGATAAGTTAGAAACATTATTCCTCATTGGCTAATCTACGAACACGCCCCCCTTCTCAAGAGAGCTTGACCTAAAACCTTTTTCATTCTTAAATAGATTTTTGTTAATGGCAAGCTTAATTGAGTATTCATGTTAATTATAAAGAAATAATCGCTCTCAACATTTATTTTTTAGTTATATCTTTAATATACGAAGGTAATCAACGCAAAAATATCTCGTAGAATAATTTACTTATTTGAGCCGATAGTCTCTAAACTTCAGTAAACAAACATGGCTGGAGTAACAAATTCAGGGAAGAGACTCGTCCGCTCCAAATCTGGACTGAGAATAATACCCTTAAAGGACACAGACAGGAGTCCGTTTGAGTTGAGAGAACCAGAATGGATCCCCGACAAAATGGTAAGAATAAATAACTTCAAGTTAGATAACGTCAGGTAGAAGATAAAGTTAAAATGATTTCGTTTTGTACAAGTTACATGTTGACCTTCATTTCAGTGCAATACGCAGTATCGTTTGTACTTCCTATGTATTGATTCTTTTGAATTGTTGATTATGTATCAATTCCTCTAACAGAAGGATTATTGTTTTTGAAGGGCATATAGTATTTTTCTTTGAATAGGTCGACTATTTTTCATTATTTGACTGCAGTTTACCTGTTTATTATTGTGACATTTATTGGTTGATTGTTTGTCATACATTATTGGTAGATGAGTTTGAATTTGGCAAGACTTTAGGATATCTACGCACACTATATCATTAAGAAAATATATTCCCCTTCTACGTGATGCAATCAACACATATTGTGGTAACAAGAGCATTTAAACTTCTTGCGCAAAGGGATTTTTCATAGTTGTTCTACATGTTTACACTGCGGTCTCGAAGAGTAAACAAACTGCTCAACTCATTACTGTGACGTGTCGACTAGTTCATGTTACTACTCACTTATAAAAATGAGTATTTTCCTATTTGTTCCCATCTACTGCATTATATATGGCCATCTTGTATTTTTTATGTAAAACAACAAACAAATATGTTTGTTACAATTATTTTGGATTTTTTGTTATAACATTTTTTTTTGCATATGCTCGTTACCCCAACCAGGATTTCAAGAATTCCTTAACTGTTCTTTGAGAATCACTGTTAGGTTTTGTGCTAGATGCAATCATGCATATGGTATTTGATTATGACATTGCACATAGATATGAGTTTGTGAATGTTCAAAGAACACTTATACCAATATCAAAAAAGTGATATCAGTGCTTTATTAGGAAATATTTGTGAAGTATATCTAAAAAAAAAACATAAGTTTTGTGTCCTTTTACACATGAAATATGTTTCCATCAAGACTCCCTGGTAATATTTTGTAGTTTACGAAGTGATCTGTATGTATACCGAGTACGAAGCACTAATGTTTGGAAATAGCTGTATAAGTAAGGATTAAATATTTTCGTTAGACTGCGCTAAACGATTGGTACTTTACGGCATCGGTAAATATGATATGATTTGAAATCGGTCATTAGTGCTGCTAAAGGCAATACAATACTAAGGGTACATAAAAGTCGGATTTTTGAACTTCGGAGATATAAGCGAGATGCTGCTAAAGGCAATACAATACTAAGGGTACATAAAAGTCGGATTTTTGAACTTCGGAGATATAAGCGAGATGCTGCTAAAGGCAATACAATACTAAGGGTACATAAAAGTCGATTTTGAACTTCGGAGATATAAGCAAGATACCGATTATTCATATTGAGATGATAGTACATAGTAATACCGGCTCTGAAATAAAAACTAGATGGAATTTTGAACTTGATTGTATGCACAGTCTTTAGGTGTCTGCAAGTTTTTCTGCACTTCTTAATAAAGATAATGGGTGCAAATGGCTAATCAACAACTCTACACATGTGTTCCATTGCCATCTCATACTATTGACAATTATCAAAGAAAACAGTTTATATTTTTATTCCTTTAGGTATAAAAGTCGATTTAGGCCTACTAAATGAGGATGATTAATTTTTTAACCTTATGTGCATGTGTTTACATACATATGATCATCCTCGAAAATTATAAACACCCAGTGACCATAGTGAAGAATAGCCTCCCTATTGAAAATAATCATTCCAATTGACTTGGTAGTCTTTGCATCGCAAAGTACACAAATAATTTTCATATTAATATATATATATATATATATATATATATATATAATAATATATATATATACATATATAACATCATTAGATTTAGAGAAAATAACAGAGATACCAAACTTTGGCAAGGTGCCAAAGTATAATATGTCGTAACTCCGTTCTTTGTTTACATTACCTTCCGTGCATCATCACGCTCATAATTTTTGTGCGATTCAAATGCAGTTTGTTGCTTTTGCAAGAGCCTTGGAGCCCTGAGGCCGCCTAAATTGCCAATTTTTGAATTTTGGCCTCTATCAAAAAGGTAACTTGAGAAGTTTCAGAATAGGAAAAGTAATGCAGATGTGGAGAAGGAATGACATCAAAATAGACTGCATTTGTAGAGCTTGAAATTGAACAGATAATTATTCAGCGTTACAGTTCTGCATACCCTATCTATCAATCATGCTGATGTCTAGACCACTGGCTCTCACAAGGCATCATAGATTCATATGCGTAAGAATGATAATAGATTAGTGAAATGGCTTGATTTTTGTAGATTATAATAGAAGGTCGGGGCTCTAACTTCTCTCAGATATTACCACAGAGTTGGCACAGTGCCAGCATTACAGTATCATTTTAATTGTTAATAAAGTGTTAGGTAATTGTCTGGTTTGCTTGTATTTGTATGCGTGTATGTGTGTAGTCTATCACACAACAATCTGGAATTAGTCATATGAGCTCATTTTGAAATGTGTTTTGTTTACTCCTATATTTATTTACCCACATATGTTTCTGTTCAGAACCTGAAGGGTAGCTACAGTCCCTTTCTTTCTTGTTTATTTTTATTTTAATGTTTTCTAATTATGTGTTGAATTGAAAGTTTTTGTTTGGAAGATTTTTATGTGCTATGAAAGTTAGCTCATGTTGATATGGAAGGTGTATATAGTTAGAATTAATTTGGCCAAGAAGTTTGGGCATTTTGAAGTTGACTGTTGTACTGATTGGTCTGAAGATCCAAGTTGTTGTCTTTATATATATAAGTAGTCCAAAAACTGCTCAAGGACAGAAAAGCAAACTAAAGCAAAAAAAAATTCTAGTAAAAAAAAAAATCCTGTTGCATTATGATATTAATGTAGATATCAGTGTCTTGTATGGGAAAAAGTAGCATTCCCTTGAAAGCACAGGTTTTCTGGATGGAACAGTAATGTTATCAGATATGGTTCCGTAGGAAACACTGTTTGACTCATTGTTGATGAAGGTTTGGATGGGGTTATATGCTTTGTTTCCTTTTATCTGAGGAAAAATAATTAAATTGTGGATATATATAACTTATTTTGTAGATGGATACTGTTATGTATCTCCAGATGTTGAATGTACAGTATTGTTTTGTTTTTTTACAGCAGCTGTATAATTCCACCTCAGAAATTATACACAAAGGAAAGAAATGATGGTCAGGGTAAGATAAATCACAACAAACCGCACTGAAATATTGCTCTTTTCAATCTTGATCATATGCTTATGGTATTGTAAAGATCATCAAGTCTGAACAGTGTTCATAGCAGAATCTACAGTATGTCATGTATGAAAGCTTTTTTATTGCATTGTCACCATCAAGTAATTTCAGATCTACAGCATTTCATACCAGATATCATCCTTTTAGGATGTTCACATTAAATCAGGATGACATAAAGTACCCTATTACGTCAACCAGCTGCACATTTTCTCCCTTCTACTGATACCATGTTCGTAGAAGGCATTTGTATCACACCTGGAGTTTCCTGTATGCGTACAATCCCGTTCTGTTACCTGAGTCTTAGTTTACATTTTACAAAATGAAGTAAAAGTTTGGAAGTGTATAACATGTTATATATGTAATATAGTGTTATTTTGTATATTGTAATAAGATCATGCTGAATTTAGAGCAGTGTTTCTTAACCTGGGGTCCTGAATGTTCTGAATAAATAGCGGTAAGATACCCAGCTGTATATTTTCTTTTTCTTGTATCAACAATGATAGCAGTTGGTTTAGTTTTGAGGAATCAAACAAAATGAATAATCAAACAGTACTTCACTTCACTTTCCTTTATCCTTCTATTAATCAGATGTTAACCAGAGTTAGGGATGCTAGACTCTACATGGCATGTACTTGCATGCCATCCCAGCAGCACTGACTTAACCCTCTTTCCGTGGCTGTTGTGGACAAAAGCGGGTGTATTGTATCATGACCATTCTCGCGCCATCGGAATATCAGACAGAGTTTGTTTTTCTCCGATAGTTGCAGCAGTATTTCTATGGTAAAACTTTTAGGCAATTGCACCTAAAGTGAAGGTAAGCCTTCAATTTTTTTATATTTTAAAAAAATTATATCAAAATACAAGCTTTTTGGTGCAAAATGTTGCTTGCAAACAAAGTATCGTATGAGCCAGGTGCAAACTGGAAACTGTTGATGCACACCAACAACCCGTGATCATGTGCACTTGCCAAACTTTTTTACCTGGCATTATTAGCTGAAGAAACTAAAATCACAGTGGACATGACTTCAGTGTGTGCTATCCCTGATAAAGATGATTTAACCCTAAATGTAGAACGAAACAGATTGTCACGTGTCGTACAGAAAATCATTATCTATTACCAAGTATGACAGGAGTGGTGGTGATGTTTTTTTTTTAAGAACTAAAAATATACTGTGTGATGTAGCTGTACCCTAAGGGTTAACTCCCCAATTGATATACATTTTTGAGGCTAGTTTTTCTTTATTTACTAATGTTGCATTCTCTTTAGGTAGTGCCCTATCATGAAACTATTAAGTAATGGTTGGTGTTTAATTTGTGTAGAAGTTATACTTTTATATTCAATTGGTTGTAAGATATTGATATACATGATGAGTGTGTCCAAATTATGCTAAAAATCCTATTTTATTGCAAACCTCTTTAATCAGAACCTATACATATTTTTTTGCTAATTCTTGAGATTTTGTATTGATAATCACAGAGGTATTAATTCTAATGATGTTTTTGTTGACAAAGGTTAATTAGTTTCCTCCGAAATTAAATACTATTATTTCACCTTTCAAAAAGGTAAACTAAAGAAAAATTATTACAGGATATTTCTTATGATTACTGTTTCTTTTCCTTTTCTTTTGAGGTGAAGTAATTTCTCAGAATGCAAGGAATATTGTTTTAAAACTGGATCTTGTATGTTAACTGCCTGAAAAGAACTTTTGGAGGCTCCAAAACCAAAGCTTCTGCTATTTGGAGACAAAATCTCTTCAATTCCTGGCTTAACATAAAAGCTTTTGCTCATTTCTTTTAGGAGTGAAACTGCAAATCTGAGACGTTGGGAGATAATTGGATTAGTTTTGCCTGGGGTCTTCTAGAGTATGAGTGGCATAAATGTCTTTAAAAATAATCAAGGCTATGTAAAACTATTATAACCATTTACATGCTTATGTTTTTACTGATGAAGGTTGATTCAGGAGTCCAGGACATCGGCTGTGGGAAATGTTTCCACATTTTTTTGTATAGCTTCTTTTTAAAGAAGGGGGAATATTCATGCTATGCCTATCCCTTGTTCATCCTTCAAAATGTGATTTACAGCTTTTAGCACATTTGATTTAGTCACAGGATGAGCTCTTTTTAACTGGTTTGACTTACAGTTTAGACGGACTTGTTCCTCAGTTTCAGTTAGCAGGGTCTTGGGTCCAGGTTTTGACTCCTTTTCTTGATATCTGTGCCTCAGGTTTACTATGCTTCTTTGCTTCTGCTTGTACTTACCAGATGTCAGATTATAATTGGGAATAGAGCTAGACCATGAAGTATAACTTACGTATGGTGCTGTAATACAAGTATTTTTACTGAAATGGGAATGATGAATTGTTTGTGTTTAAAAGATGGCAAATGTAAGTTTCCATGTTCTTAATGACATACTGTATCTACTCATCAGGGTAAGAATGTCTCCTCTGTTTTATCAGTATCAGACCTTTTTCTCTTTTTCCCTGCATTTGACATTATCCTGAGATAGACTATTAAACTTATCAGCTTGAACAAATAGCTGTAAAAGATAGAAGACTGGTTGTATATGATAGGAATTCATACATCCTACATATTTTGTCATGAAATGTCAAGTAAGGACACAGTGCATATAAACCAATATGGATGTGCATCCTATGATTATTAAACAAACTTTCCATTAGGTAATGCACACTGCACACTAAGTGGCAACGCCATATCTCCACCTAAAATGGATATCGTGTGAATATTTATGTGATTTCAACCTTTTTACCATATGACGATAGAACATTGTCATGATATTGGAGATATGCTGTGTACGCCCTCGAAATAATCTTTTTTGAAATTGCATTCTAATTTATTTGAATTTGAATTTTCTGTCCAATCAAGAAAACCCCCAACCCTTTCCCCATTAAATGTGGAATCTTAATTGTGATTTTTATATTAATTTAGGGCCATACCTGTAGATCTGAACCAAATTGAGAAGGGAGTCTGATTGATAACATGCTATAAATTTCAATTTTGTAAAGTCAAAGAATCTTGGTGCTTTGCTAAGGAATATGTTGATTTCTTCACCCGCATTTACATTATATCCCAGTGTTTATAAAGTAATGGAAATAGATGCCAGCAACTTTTAGTGCTTAATGTTTTTGTCTCTGGTAAGAGACATTCAATCAGTTTTGATTATATAGCTTTTTTAGTAGTATTTTCATGCATAGTGCATCTTAATTGGAGGAATGCATCACAGTTGGTGAGCTTACCCTGAGTTAGAGACAAGAAGGAAGATATGTTTGATGCCTCACTATAGATATAAGTGGTGGTCATGATAAGCTTAGTTTGCAGAAGGAAGGGCATCATTACAGATTTTTATAATGCTGGAAATGACACACATTTGTATGAAATAGTGGTTATGAAGGTGTCAGTAGTAATGATAAAGGTGAATGAAAATGACTTTTATACTGTTAAGGATAGATAAATAAAACAAGATACAGAAGACTGAATGATAAATGTAATATGCACCACTAGTTTGTGCACATGAGGCTTTGCAGCATCACATTAGAAAGATTGACCTACACTATTGTGAATATTTATTTGGCATTCCAGTTCTGTAAATATTTAGTGCTGATTTCAAAGAAATTCAAGTATTTTCTCATAGTATTTTGAGCCCTTTCCAATAAAGCATAGGCATATTGGTATTGTATATTAATATGAAATATGAATCCAAATTAAAGGATATCATCATAATTTTTCCTCTGCAGAGCCCGACTTGTATGGACTGCAAGGAAAAGTTTGACTTTTTAAAACGAAGGGTATGTATAGTATGCATCTTTTATCTTTTGTAATGAATTATGTATTTATTTTTATTAGTAGTAATAGCTATTTCTGGTTCTTAATCATAAATCTTTTTGTTGGTACTTTCTCTTTGTGTATTTCTTATATGTAGTTGTATTATTTATTTCTTGTTATTGATATTGGTAATGTAATTTCAGTAGCATCTTGTACATTTTGCTTCATTTAATTTTTCATTATTATTATTATTGTTATTATTATTATGAATATTATCATTATTATTGTTGTTATTCTTATGATTGCTATTATTGTAATTATCATCATCATCAGTTAGTCAGTGTGAGTTAGTGTGTGTGCGTGCGTGCGTGCATATGTGTGTGTGAGATTCTTTTTTCTGTCATTTCTTATATTTTCTTTTCCGTTAATTTTTTTGTATCTTAACAATATGGTATATGAAATAGTATCCATACAAGGTATGGTTCAGTGATAGATATTATAAATCTGGTGTACATTTGTAAAACTCAGGTACTTCCATATAGGACAGATGTTGTAATGGCATACTAAACTGTCATCTAAGAACCTTCTAGCATCACTGTCGGAGGTGTGGGCGGGTCTGCTGTGCTACCTGTTGCGAGACCCGACTGGCCTCCCTAGGATGTGCTTCCTGGATCCAGTGCGGATGTGTTCTCCCTGTGCAGAGACCACTTCAAAAGAGAACCAGTTCTATAACAAGGATCTGAAGACACTTATTACGGGTGGGTAATATTTGACCTTTTCTAGTTTGAGGTGTAGTGATTGTTGCGACATATGATTGAGTATAAAGTTATTCTGAGTATTATCATGGTATAGCCACTGTAAAACTTGCACATTTTATGCATAGTAGCAGTAGTAGTATTAGCAGCAGGAAGAATTTTTACAAATTTCTTAAAATTTTATATTTTTGATAATTACTCTTTTATTTACTATAATGACATAGCAGGGTTATGTCTGAAGTCTGCTTTTTAATTCTACAGGAGCCATCTTAAGTCAGAGTGCACAGGATCAATTTGACCTAGAATCATGCTTGCTGGCAGTGCCGATTGTCTCCTGATCACCGATACTTGATACTGTCTGGATCACAAGTTGATAACCTAACACCATTGTCCATACCAATGCACAGGTAACAGGACTTCATGTTGCCAACAGATTCCAGGTAAAGTTATTTCTTTTATATGTATTTGAGGTTGTGTGGGTGTTTCAATTGTTTTTGTACTTTAGAGGAAAACATGACAGAAGAAAATTGTTATTATCATTCTTTTTATTGTTATTGTTATTTTATTTCTTTTTCATACTGACTTTGTATGCATTGTGAATAAATATAATGTTATATATACATTTTTATTCACTAGGATTCAGCAGGCAACTTCAAGGTAACAGGGGTTACAGTTCAGTATACAACTGGCTGGAAGAAGACGAAGACGAGGTTTCCATTGCAGCTCCTCCTGATGCTTCGCCCTCTGCATATGATTTCCTAACAGCACTAGAAAAGGCTGTCTTCATGATGCAGGAGGCCCGTGCTGTAATTGGCATAGCAGAGTGAGTGAAAATGGCCAAGGAGCCAATGTCCCCTAAGGATCAGAGGTAAAAAGAACAGGTATACTGGAGATTATGGAGTTGGTCAGCTAGCTAGATTCCAGATGGTTTTTGATAATTTGGGTTGGAGAGGATGTTGTGATTGCCAGTGTGTGATTTTTTGTTTTCTTTGCATGGTGGTAGGAAGTTGTAGCAATTTCCAAGGGCTGTAGTAACTGGGAAATGTATATCAATTATACAGATATGTAAAGTATGACAGAATAGAGTGATCCACCATTTATATTCACTATTCACTACATACATTATTTCCAGGTATGTGGGAGTATCATGTATATAATCCCTATAAAAGACTCATTGTTCTGTGATTAAAGGATAGATTAGGTGTATGTAACTTCTGTAAGTTTTTTATTGGTGCTTTATCCTTTCACTGTACAATGTCTGTAAGGGATATGTATTTGCTTATATATTATAGCTCATTTTGTCTTTTATCTTGTATAGCACATACAGATTTTGTAATATATATTTTGTCAATGAGAATATAGTATTGTTATTCTTATATGTTTGTGATACTTTCCATTGCCTTCAAGTTACATATAAAGAGTTCATGAAACACATGTATTTGAAAAGAAGAGAGAATATTCATTACTTGGATTAGGTCTAGAAGGAATTTTTACCATGCTTGAAACTGTTCTCAGTGTACTGGGTTTTCATCTAAGAAAAAGAAGATGGTAAATTTCTTCTATCCGTGCACTGTTAAGTATAGTCCCTTCCACTTCCTAGTTTATCTCTCAGCATGTCATTGTGGGAACTGACAGTTTTGACTCTTGTATCTGAGACACATCTACTATGAGGAGGAGGTGCATGTTTCAGATTCAGGAGTCAAAGCAGGTGGCTCACACATTGGTTGCTCTGTGGTGCAACGGTAGCTTGCTTGTCTAGCAGTCTTGCTGACCTGTGATCAATCCCGTGTGCTGCCAGTGGATGGTAACCCCTGCCATTCCTTGCACACAGGAGATTTAGAAACAAAATAAAACAGAGCATGTCACAGCAAAGAATATCCATTGTAACAAATGGAATTAAAATTAAAACTGAATCTTGCATTGAGTAGTGAACTTGATATGGAGGGACTGATATTTGCAATGTATAGATGATATTACTAATAATTTAAAAGACCATAAATTCCATTTATGTCAGGGAACATACAGAGAAAAATGGTAGAAGGCCTAAAACTGGTAGTTTATATTTTATATTTTCCTGTGCTCACATGAAAAGTAGTCATCAGTGTCATCCATTAGGTTATAAAAATGGTAGTTATTTTCTTATCTTGTAATATTTATTAACATAATGCTTCCAGGAACATGTAAGGTTGACTGTAGTTTTGTTTTGTGAAATGTCTCTTTAAAACAAATGGTTCCACAAGGGCTCACCCACAAAGGAGTCAATTAGTAGGTTTACACATCCTCACCTTGAATTTTTTTATTTCTAAACAATTATATTTAACCATGTGGTTATTATTATTATATGCATTTTGGTAATTACAGAGTTGTTAAGAATGCTAATAGCAATAGGATTTTTTTGCTGAAAGTTAAAGAGAAGGGTAAACAGAGGAAATAAGTAGGGCTATTAATTGACTTCTTATTGACTAAGCACCTGGGAAGCCATCTATGTGTTAACACAATTAATAAACAAAACTTGCAGTTAATAAGCTATACATACATGCCATCCCTCATGGCAATAGTTTAAATGTGATATTCACCATGCTACAGATAGAACATTAGAGTAATGGCATGATATCTCTAAGATGAGCAAATTTTACAGTTAAATATTGTTCATTAGATTTGTAGGTTTTCAAAACTAGCAGGACAAAGTATTGCCATTGTACAGAAAAGCTGAGATGACAGATTTATAACTTTTGATTTTCAAAATAGTGAATGACAAGCCACACACAAAGGAAATTTTATTTGGGTTTTTGGGAAGCGTCACATTGGTAGTATCTAGCATGATATTGTGATTTTACAAGAAAACAGTATAATATGAATTTGAAATGTGATTGATAAAAGAATTTCCAATGAAATGCTTCTGTGAGTAATAGATACTGCCTTTTTAGTGAATTTCCATTTGTAAGATAGAATCTTTTATAAGTATTTGATAAAAAAGTATGTGCTTCTGCAGTTTAAATACTTTACTCAGTATTTGTGAATTTGAACAAGTATGTCAAAGTAATCTTGAAATGTATTGTGAATGCTGAGAGATCTAATTAGATTCAAACAATCTTGAACAATTTGCTGGTTTAAGGCTATCTTTAATTTTTATTTTATAGACAATCAGAAATATGTGAACCTAGCATCAAGTTAAAGAAGTACTCTAGGTGATGGTCATGTTATCCAAAGGGAGTCTTGAATGGAAATAGGGAAGGCTGTGTAAAGACTCTTTCATATTGAATTCCATATTTTAATCCTTTCTGTAATTTGCTTGTGATTCTATGGCATTGTTTCATGTTAGGTGTCAAAAATTCATGTTGCTTGTTATTTTTAATGATTCTGAAGAGTTATGGTGTGTTTTCAAAGTTAAAAACACATCCTAATTTATAGATTTCAGATATTAGAAAAGAGACTATTGAAAATGTATTAATGTTTGTTTCCAGACAAGAGAATGTTATTGCTGTCTATTTGTTATAAAGTTTCAATGTTGTGATGTTTGTATGTTGCATGTTGTCTTGCCAGTATTCGTATTAATGTCTTACCTCCATCACCATGACTGCCTTTGATTATGTTTGGAAGATTTTCAGAGGTAGTTTGAAAGTGATCAAAACCTGGTGTTGGTAACTGTTGATATTATCATTGAATCTCATTGTAAAGTATTTTTGAGCCTCTCTATCTTCATTCTTTTTTATGTACTTTTTTGTTGACTTCCTGCTTTATCTTAGTATTCACTTTCTTTTCCAGGGTTTCTACAAGGCTAGAATAATAATTAGAACATAAGTCGGGAACACTTAACTATTTATCACACCATTTGATGTTAGAGTAGCACACTACAATGATATTAGTTTTGTACTTTTGTATGGTGTGTTTAATGGATATATTATTCTTTAACATGGATAAGAAGGGAGAGACATGTATATAATATGTTGATTACTGAGTTTGTATGTGCATGTCTACTTATATATATTATCTGCAACACATGCATGCAAATGTAATTTTGTGTTTTTGTACAGATATTATTTATGTGAATTTAACCAATTAGTGCTAGGTACAAGCACTGTTCAAAATAGCTTTGTTTTACCTGATGTCTCACAAGCATTTAGTTGGCAAGGAGTCAGTTACTAGGCTTATCTGGTCTCAGCAGCTTACTTCTTTTACTGAATTTGTTGCTGATATTGTTGTTTGTAACATTATTGTTATATATTTTTTTATTTTTATAATGTTCTCAAACAGTAATAATAGAAATAAATATAATGTTATTTCCTGAAAATTCAGGGAATGGGGAAGCATGTGAGGTAAGGTGAGCCTAGTAATTGACTGTGGTAATTAAGTGCTTTTGCAACCATCTGTGTGTAACTAAAAGTAATAAAACAATCTGCCAAGAACATTGCATTCCCAGCATCAATAGGTGAAGAACACTGTAACTACTTTTAGGCAGAAACCATCTATTATTGAAATAGAAAAACAGAAGAATGAAATATTTTAGTCATGAAGTAAGCCAAACTAAACATTGCACACAATACTGTAACCAAATATTCAAATTTGCCATGGAATTGTGCCTAACTAGAATATAATAACCAGTCATATTTGTATCTTCCTATAAAGTAACTGAACTAATACATCCTGCATAGCTAGTGCCAAGTGTCTCCATGGAATTGATAAGGAAATACAACAAAAACTGTGGGTTTTGCCAAAAGTAATGAAATTAGGCTTGATGTGTAAGTTAGAAGAAAGTATAGAGGGATCAAAGCAGATAATGCCACTTTATAGAAAAGGGGAAGTATATTGTTTATTCTAGAAATTACAAAGCATTTTCGTTTGAGATATATATGTAGATTCAGTCATTTAGGGTTAATTTCCATCACCAGCTCCCATTCAGTGATCTAAGTGTAACTTAGCACATTTTCAGAATTGTCATGAAGTCATCAGGGGACGTTGAAGACTTTATTAACTGAAATTTCACAAAGAAATTTCTGTTAGACTTTCACACTTTTATCTAAAAGATTAAAGGAAAAATACAGATGATAATGGATACTGTAATAGTGAAAAGAGTCATGCAGAATATCATAGTGAGGTATGTTTATGATAATGCTTGGAATGTGCCTATGCCCCCCAAAAATACCTTTTCTTGCATGGCGAAAACATTCTGTATCCTTGCTTTTACTGAGAGCCATGAAACTTACAAATAATGTTATACAGGGATTATGAAAATAATGTGTATATTTAAGGAAACAGATAATTACAATCAGAGAAAATTCTGAATCAGTGTGAATATACATAAAAGATTGATATACAAGAATATATAAACTTTAATTTTACGGCAAAAAGTTAGAAGGGCCAATGTCAAAAAAGGCCTGTTTTGTGATATGCCTACCACAGAACTGGAAGTATTTGCTTCTATAAGTGTTATAAAGGCTAATGTCTTCAGGGCATAAGAGACGCCACAAGAGCAATACTTCGAAATCCAAATTTATTGAAAATCTTGTATTCTAACATAAGACTTATTGCCACAATAAGCGACCCAAAGCTTCAGGTTGTGTTTTTACTATTCTATATTTTCCCTTAAGTGCCATTTTCAGTCTACAAGTAATAGATTTTACATGAATGTATAGCAGAATTATCAAAAGGTTTATGATTTTTAAGCCATAAAATGTTAGAAAACTTCAGAAGAAATCAATTTAGGAGGGATGGTTTAAATATCAACAGCAGTAAATATTGTAATTTATTAATTAATCAAGAAAAATACATTTTTACAATGTTTTTGAAAACATATTGTATATAGAGATATATTTTTTCTTTCTTTTTTC